GAGATCGCTCCCAAGGAGCACCGGCTGATTAAGACTAGATGGAGAGTCCTGTGGGTGCTCTTGTCTCATCCCACCCTGGGGAGGACAGAGGCTGGGATGTGGTGTCATGGCGACAGGACCCAGCCTGGCCAGGCGCTGGGAGGTGGTAGCCCGAGTCACCGGTGGTGTCGGCCTGCCACCTGCTGGTGAGTCCAGGGTCACGCAGGGGCTAGGGCAGGGGGACAGGCGGTGGGGGTGGGGGCCTGCCTTCCATGGTTTCCTGGGTTCCAGAGCTGCAGGGATCTAGCCTGCTCTTCTCCCTCTCCTCCAGCAGCCCCCAAGCACCCACCTGGGGCAAGTTCTGTCTCAGCTGTTCTGCGAGGCATGTGTCCCTGTGTGTGGGGAAGATGGTGACGTGAGCTGAGGAGAGGCCTCTGGGAGTGGCCTGCTCTTGTCTGCAGGCAGGGGCATGGGTGGCTGCCTCCCCGGGGCTGAGGATAGGGTGTCCAGAGGCTCTTTGGATTTCTGCCCCTTCCTCCTTTCCAACTTTCCCCTCACCTCTCCCAGCCACCGCCCGGGCTCGGTGTTGGGTGGGCTGGGCCGAGGAGACAAGACACTTGCAGCACCCACAGGCATCTTCCCTGCTGCCTGGAGACCTCTGCTCCCTGCAAGGCCGTGTGAGGCAGAGTCCCCTAGAGCACTGCCCCTCAAACCTGAGCGTGGCACACGAACCCCCGGGGAGTCAGGGTAAAACGCAGAAACCGACGCAGCAGGTCTGTGCTGAGGCCCAGGACTCTGTGCCCAGGCAGTGTCCGTGCTGCAGAGACGCACAGAGTGTGATGTGGATTCATGAGGCCCAGGAAACCCTGCCAAAGGATGACCAGCCCCACCGCCCCTCAGGGGGAGGCCACTCGCCCCAGCCCGCCCTTACCGATGGTGGTGATGGTGGACACGGAAAAGAAGAAGGAGCCTACGAGCTCCCAGCGCCCCATGCTGGTGGTGTTGCTGAGGAGGCTGGCCCTGTTTTTGTACGCTTCGACGATGTCCTGGGGGAGAGGATGCAGTGACCACCAGGCCCTGTGGGGTGACCATGTCCCTGCACCCCAACACACACACACACACTCATGCACAGTCCTCACAGTTATCTTCCATCCCAGTTTGGCCAGCACAAGGAGGTCCTACCCCTCCAACCATGGATTCCAGGGGCAGCTCCTTGCCCTCTCTTTACCCCAGAGCCCAGGTCAGGATGGGGTCTGATAGCTCACCAGCTGGTAGACCAACCATTGCTTTTCTGCCCTGCACACTCCCATTCCTACAACAAGCACTAGGCCAGGCATGACACGTGCTGCTTTCAGGGGACACGAAGATAACAGAGACATGACCTCAGCCCTGAGTGGTACGGAGATAAACTTAATAACTCTAATATGATGTGCTCGGTGCCGCTTTGGGCGTTAAGGAGGTAGTACAGCTACACAGTCCTGAGCAAGTTACTCAACTTCCCTATACCTTAGTTTCCTTACCTGTAAAATGGGAATGCTAATAATACCTACTTCATAGAGTTGTTGTGAGGGTTAAATGAGGTATTGTGTGTAAAGACTTAGAGCAGTAGCCAGCATATGGTAAATGTTAGCGGTTGCTATCATCGTCATGTTGTAGGAATACGGGGAAGAAAGGTCTTCATTCTCATGGGGGTAGGAGCAGAGGCTTCATGGAGGAGGTGATGTTTCATGGGATCTTCCCTGAGGTCCAGATAGGATTGCTTCTGGTGGAAGGACATCTAGGTAGGTGGGACAGCAGCAGCAGAGGCTGGGAGGTGAGGAGTCTGGACTCCTAGACTCGGGAGACTGACAGGTGGTCGGGGCCAAGCTGTGCTTGGCTCTGCTGTGGCAGGGATGGAGCAGCAGGCCTCATCTAAGGTCACTGAGCAGAGGGGAGGCAGGGTCAGGTTTGTCTGCCCTGTGGCAGCTGGCAGTATGGAAGTTTGGCAGATCAGAAGGGGTAGACTCTTGCAGGGGTGAGTGACAGAGAGGGCTTGACCTGCACGCTGGCACGGAGTGTTTCGGAGGAACAGAGAGGAGATATTCAGAAGCCTCTGGCCCCATTTGGTACGGGCAGCATATGGGCCTCGAGGGAGGCATCCCAGAGGATTGAGAGGGCGTGTGGACGTGGAACAAACGTCAGAGACTTGGAACAGGTGAAGGAGCAGGGCTGGGAGGAGGAGGACTGCTTGCTCTTGGCCTTGAGGAATTTGAGAAGTTGCACGAACATGTCTAGTACTCAGAGGAAGATCTGGGCTGGACACCACCTCCTCATTCCCGGGGATGGCTGAAGCCACAGGAGGGTTGAGGAAGGGGGTGAGGTGGGGATGGAGTAGGAGGGGGTTGGAGGGAAGCCTACAGAGAAGAGAGGCTGGCGGGACACAGGTCCACCCAGAAGCAGTACTCATGGTGGCTCATGGCCCCAGCTTGGGGCTGTGTAGCCATGTATTCCTATTTAAACTGCCTGAGCCTCAGTTTCTTCACCTCTAAAAAGGGGATGATAATAAGAATGCCTACCTGTGAGGGAGGTGAGCATGAACGGAGTTAGTATGCGTTGGGCACTAGGCACAGTGCTGCACGGAAGCATTTACTGTTATTAATATCATCATCATCATCATAGTCATCTACCAGGGCCTAGGCACCTCGCGGTTCACCACCTTCGCAAGAGACTGTCAGTCAGCCTCAGCAGCAGGGCCAAGCTGATGTACTAATATTTACAGAAGTTTGCAGGTGGGGAGGGGTTGGAGGAATCACTTTAGGTTCCTAGCGGAGATGGCTCATGTCCCACCTAGCTCCAGACCCTGCCAAATCGGTCTAGTTCGAGGGTTCAGAACTCCGCCTCCTCTCCGCTCTCTGTCCCTTCCCACCCTGACACATTTCCTTGTTACCTTCTTGGCACTGGCTTTGGGCTGGAGGGCCTGGGGCACAGGCCCTGGCCTCCTCTGCGGAGGAGCCACCGGGACTGCAAGGCAGGGATTCAGGGCTGGCGCGCCGCTGTCTAGGCCCCGGTTCTGGGCTGTGGGAGGAAGGGGTGCGGGCACCGAGCCAGGGCCTGGGACGTTAATGCATCCGCCAAATTGACCAGTCAGGCGTCGCCTGGGTCGAAAGACACCTCCATCCATTCGGGATGCCCCATCCCAAGAACCCTCTCCTGCCTGCTCCGCCCGCTGAGTCCCCACCCTCTGAGGGGTCGGCCCTGGGAGACCTCTGCGTCCTCTCCCACCCGCGCCTTAAGCCCTTCCCGGCCTCCGCGGCTGGGGCGACGCACCCAGCCCTGGGTGTACGAAGACCTGGAGCAAGGCGGGCTCGGCAAAAGAGCGGCCCCGCGCCCGCCCTCCCCCTCTCGAACCTGGGTCTGCCCCAGGCAGCGCGCCTAGGCCGTCCACCCGGCCTCCAGGACCGGCACGCCCTCCCTCCGAGCTCCTACGGTGGTCATGCCCTGGGTCTTGCCCCAGTTCGTACATTTGTGCCCGGGTTTGCGCCCTGGAAGGGCCAGGTGTGCCCTTCCATTCTTCGCCTTCCGTTCGACCCCAACACAGCGCTGCGCGTCCCGGTGCGACCTGCCACCTCCCGCCAGCAGACCAAACGCTCCCTTTCCTCCTTCTGGCTCGACCTGGTTGGCCCTGCGGGCTTCCGATCCAAGGAGGCGCGACCCTGTCGTCCTCATCGCCAAATTCGGACGTTTGCGCCCCGCATCTGTCTCCGGACGGGGTCAGTCTTGCCCTCTCGCCCCCTGAAGGGGGAGTCGGAACACGGCGCCGTGCAACACTGTCGCTAGAGCCGGGGTCCTTTCCGTGGGGGTGCCGCCCCACCCTCCAGGCCCCCGGGCGGAAACGCCCATCCCGTCGTGCCCACCTGTATGCTCCCGGCGGTTCCCTGTCCGGGGCCTGACGGGCCCTCTCGCCCTCGGCCGGTACACCCACTTCCCCATCCCACCGCGACAAGGCCAACCCCGCTCGCCCCTGACCCGGATCAGCGAGTCCAGCGCTGGGCGGTCCAGACACGTGAAGTTCCGCAACAGCTCCCACTTGTCGTGCGGTCCTGCGCCGCGCGGTCCTCCAGTGCCCAGAACGCGCCGGTGCCCAGCGCCAGGTAAGCCAGGTAGGCGAGGAGCAGGAGCGAGGTGGTCGGCAGCGGGCAGCGCTGGACCCCGCCCTTGGGCGCCGCCCGGGCTCGCGGTTGGTACACGGCGGGAGAGGCAGGGAGCCCGAGCCTGCTGGGAGCCATGGACCAGGACTGGGGCGGAAAGGAAGGACCAGGAACCCAGCTGGTCTCTCCTCCAGCAAACGCCTCCCTGGGCAATTTCCCCCCTGCAGAGGGGACAACTTTGTCCCAGCCTGCCTTGGGATCCAATTCCAGGGACAAAAAGAGGCTCTGAGTGTGCGCATCTGGCCCCACCTCAAGTGTGTGTGGAGTGCCCGTCCCCCAGGCTCAGGCCAGGAAGGAGAGGGCTGCTGGGTGGCCACAAGCCCTAAGAGGGAAGGGGCCCAGAGCCCCCCAGCATTTCCTGCAGTGAACGGTGGGAGGGACTCCTGGAAACCACACTCAGGGGAAAGAGAAAGTAGAGGCCAAGTTTATTGTCTTAGGGGCCCTGCTTAAGTCCTTGGACTCTGGGGTGATCTCCAAGGGCTTGCTGTCTGTCCAGTCCTCCCTGGATCTCCCACACCATGTTCTTTCCTTTGTGTCCCCCAAAAGAAGGACCCCAGCTGATTGCAACTTGCCCATGAGCTTGGGTGGCAAGGGGAGCCTTAACCAGGGGGCTTGTCCTTTTCTTGCTTCTGAGAATGCCCTCTGAGTCCCTCCTCCCCCGAGAATGGAGGAAGGGTCCAGGGTGTGTGAAGAGACTTCTCTTGGATGTGAGAAAGTCCTGGGTGTAAGCTGGATCCCTCCTGCTGCCGTAGATCCTCGTCTCCTGCCTGGAGCCTCCTCCCTGCACAGCCTTGCTTTAGTCCTATCCAGAGCATGCAGCCACCCACAGGCCTTCTTGCTGTTGGGTGGTGGGGGAGGTCGGGGCCAGAGTTTTCAGTTCTTGGTGAGATTGAGCCATGGGATGGACTGGTCTAACTCTCCTCCTGGCCAGAGATGTTGCAATCAGGCCTGGAGAACACATTCCAAAGGGAGGTCAGACCTCCACGGAACTCATTTTCTGGAAGGCTCCTGCGATCTGCTGGCTCTCTGGCTTCCCAGGGGTGTTTGGAAAGGCTCTTAAGAAGGCAGATGCCCAGAGGGAGTGACGAGGTCAAGGGGGTACCCTGTGGGGGTCAGGGGAGGCCATGTCCAGGAAAATGACAGGGGTGGGGGATGCCCAAGAAGTCCTAAGCCTTGTTCAGCCCTAAACCTCTAGGCAGGGGAGCCGGCGAGCTTTGAGAGGCTGCTTGCCTGTCCCCCAGTGGAGAGCTTCCTGAGGGCAGATATCCTGTTTTCACTAAGATTGTCCCAAAGTCTGTGCCCAGCCCCCTGCCAGCCACTCCCCTGGGCCCTCATCATCTCCCTGGGTCTGTTCCTGTCATAGCATCTTGGGTGCTGTCTTGGGGCTGCCTCTCTACTTGTCTAGTTCCCCCACGCGACTGAAGGCACACCAAGGGCAGGAGCTTCCGCTGCTGTGTCCTCAGAGCCTGGCACAGTGCCTGCACATAGTGGGGGCTTGGCAAATGCACACCGTGCACATACCAAATGAGACAAAAATGAAGTCACCCTTTGTTGTCTGTATAAGCTCTCCTGGGAATGGAGATCTGGCCACAGTGACCCATGTTGGACTTGACTTTTCCAGGTTACCTTTGAGGTGAAGGGGTGACAGGGGCTCTGGAACGAGGGCGCGTGCCTCAATCCACGCACACGTCTTTCATCCCGTCTCTGCCTCTCCCCTCTGTTACTTTCTTGGACACACCTGTGTCCTTTCTTTCTCTGGAGTGCTCCTGAGACCAGCCCTGGCTGAGAAGTGAGTGGGTGGGGAGGGGAGGTGGCAGGGCAGGAATCCAGAGGGTATATGGGGTGGGCTGGGGAGGATGGGAGGGGAGGCTGGGGGCACTCAGGGGCTTCATGCAGAGATGGGGATTGTCTGAGGTCTGGGGAGCCCATCGGGGTCAGGGACAGCCCCGTCCTTGGGGCCAAGGCCCCTAGTGAGCAGCCAGAGCTGGGAGCACCTGTGCAGAAGCGGTGGCCCCAGTGGGAGTCAGCGCCAGCCACACCAGGCCCAGGAGGATCCAGATGGCTGCCAGGCTCAAGTACACCAAGATGTAATGCTTGCTGGGGTCCGTGCCTGCCAGGGAAAGGGACAGAATCAATGCCAGGGGTCTGAGGGCACAGCCACCCCAGGTTGCATAGGGGCCTTCACCAGCCAGGACGCTCTCCCTCTTCCTAACTAGGACTGGCAGTAGAGGTCCCTGGGGGAAATGGCCATGGGTCCCAGACCAGAGCCTTCCGAGGATGGTGCTGCGAATCTGCAGTGGCCTCAGAATAACCAGGGGCTGTGTGACCCTCAGTAGTTATCCTCAGCTGACACCTCTCCATCCCCTTAATCCCAGTGGGCCCCCAGCCTGAGGTACGTGACTATCTCGTTCTCACCGACAACATAGTCCCTGAAGCCAATGGTGCTGAGCGTGATGAAAGCAAAGTAGAAGCCCCCGCTGAAGCTCCAGCCCTCCACGTGGCTGAAGACCAAGGGTGGGAAGATGAGGATGACCAGTGTCTCCACGACCAGGAACAGAGCCAGGCCCAGGACCTGCAGGAGCTGTGAGGGAGGGAGTCTGCCCCTGAGGCCACTTGAAAGGCTTCTGGGTTGCACAGGGCCGGGGGTCTGTGGCGGACTTGGGAGTAAGGCTGCGTGAAGCCAGGCCCCTCCCTGCTCTGCAGACCTTGGGGCTGGAGTGTGTGCGTGATCTGTGCACGAGTGATCTTGCCCCGCCAGGGGAAAGGTCTGTGCAAAGGGATTGTGGTAGTGGGGCAAGGGGGGATTTGGAGACCCCTTCGGGCTTGGGGTCACACTGAAACAGGCCCCCTGGGAACTCATATCCGGGATAGAGGACTGTCATTGAACTGTTCCAGATTACTCTTGCACCCCTGCCCTTCTAGCGGGCCTCTGGCTCACGAGGGGCTGGTCAGGGTGGGCACTGGGGCCGTGTTGGGTGGCCTTCTTATCTATTGCACAAAAGGATGTTGGGGCTCTGTGATGACCACAGACATGTGCTGCCCAGATGCCCCGTCAAAGGAGGACTGTTGGCCAGCTTCCAGCTCCTAAAGGGTGCTCTTCAGCTGCAGAGAACCGCCTGCCCAAGGGCATGCTCTTCCTGGGAAGGCCACACCTGGTGCTCTATTGAGGAGGGATTAAAGCCTAGCTGCTCCAGGCACTGTGGGACAACTCTGACAGCCCACACGTGCTGCAGAGCTCCTGGAGGCCAAGTCTTTGTCCAGCCGCACCAAAATTCAACTACTCCCTCCGCCCAGTCCTGCATCTGCCCCTTCTTTTCCACAGGTGTCTTCCCCCAACACCTTGCATGCCAAACTCTGTCTCAACATCTGCTTCTAAGACCTGCTGTCCCCAGCCTCTGGGCTGCTGTTAGGAAACAGGCCTCACATCACCGCCTGAGCTCCACACTCCCTCATGCTCCACCCCTCACCCCCCAGTCTGTGGAAGAATTGACTTCCATGAAACAAGTCCCTGGTGCCAAAAAGGTTGGGGACCACTGTTCTAGAGGACTCAGCGTGCAACTGATCTGTCACAGCAGGGCTGCAAGGGAGGGAGGAGCCGTACCTGGGAGCGCCTGGGCTGGTCCTCCCACCTCTCAAGCATGGCCAGGTGGGCACGCAGCCCTGTGCCCAGGTGGTTGAGGAAGACCACATTGAGTGGGATGCCCGCCAGGGCATAGAAGACACAGAAGACCTGACCTGCCTCCATGCTGGACGCCAGGTTGCCATATCCTGCAAGGGAAGGGGGAGTGTGCAAATACGGGGAAGAGAGAGTCCAGAACTGTGTGCACTCCTCCTCCCCAGACTCTAACACAGGTTGTCTTCTACCACCTCTTAGGGGGAGGTGGGGAAGCTCCCCTGTTCCCATGAACTCTGCTAGAATGATTTTTATTCGTAGGATTCCTGCTCATTTTTGAAGGCCTATCTCAAATGACACTGCCTCCACGATGCCCTCCTGACTGCTACTCCTTCCTCCCTACTGGGTGTGATTCCCCATAGTTTTGTGTTATTCCTATCTAATTATCTACTTTGCCTTATATGATTGTTTTTGGTGTACTTACTATATCCCTCTTTATTGGATTGGGGGCCACGGCTGGGTCTGATCTAAGTTTCTATCTCCCATCCCCCACTCCACCACTCTACCTGGAATGTCACCTGAGTTCAAGGAAGGTGTGTGGAATTGGACTTAATTGAATGGATGGGGGAGGCCTGGGTTAGAAGGGAGTGGGATGCAGGTTTTCTGGCTGAGGGGCTGTAGCAGATGCTGTCAGTGCCCTGTCCCCTTGAATGCTGGGGATGTGCCCTGCAGCTCTGGTGGACAGTTCCTGTATAAACGGCACCCCGTCCCTTCATCTCTCTCTACCTGAGAGATTTCTGTGGCTGCAGCGGTGTGCTTGGTCTACGGGCAGGTTCAAAGTGCTGGCAAGTTAGTACACTCAGGATCAGCTCTCAACCGGTGAGGGCAGGAGTTCATAGCTAAGTAGGCCCTCATTCTCATCCTTCGCTGGGACCGTTCTGAGCATGGGCTCTACCTGGGCTCTGGGAGAGTCTCAAGCAGAGCGAGTCCGGTGACCCAGACCAGCAACCTGCTCATCACGGCAAACTTGATATTCTTTTGGGAAGCCCAAACTGAGACAGGGGCCTTGGGGCAGCCCTTCTACCCCAACCCTTTACCTATGGTGGTGACGACGGTGCCTGCAAAGAAGAAACTGCTGCCGAAGTCCCAGTTGCAGGGTTGGTGGAGTTGCCTTTGGGGTTCACACCTTTCACCCAGGCTTCCTTGATGACCTGTGGGAGGTGGCACGGCAGGGGAGGAAGAGGGAGCTGATGGTTATTGAGCACCAGCTGTCACCGTGCTCTTAGCAGGGTGCGTTTGCGTCACCTCATTTGATGATACCCTTAGACAGTGTTGTTCCCATTTCACGGGGAAGGAAAGGAAGGCTCAGACTGGCTAAGTGACTTGCCCAAGGTCACCAGACTCCAAGCCAGTGCCTGTTCACTGGCCAGGGCTGACCGCAGTGTGGGCTGTGAGCATGGGACGCTGGAGGGAAATGGGCCCAAGGAGGTGAGATGGGGACGTTTCAGGAGGGGCCCCAGTGGGAGATGCCACCACAAGGACGACACACAGGTGGGTTGTTAGAACAATGGGGGGATTTCAGGTTGGATGTGCCCAGAAGGGTTTTCTGGGGAACGTAGGTTTTGGGAACCACAGGGAAGCCGTGGGGCTGCCCGCCCTCCCAAGGCTGATGGAGGGGGACAGAGAACCTGCGTCCTCTGAGATTCCAGGTGAGCAGGCAGCCTTGCTCTTTGCTGCCCTCTAGTGAGCCCCAGCCCATGCCTGCAGGAGAAGTTCCATCAGAGGCCAAGACAAAGGCTGCATGTGCATGTGTGTGTGTATGCGTGCGTAGTGGTTTGTGTATGTATATGGTGTGTTGTATACATGTGTTGTGTGTGTGGCTACTGTATGTTGCACGTGTGCATGTTTTGTGCCTATGTGTGTGTTGCACATGTGTTTACAGAACCTAAAGCTTTGCAGGCTCAACCCTAACACGCCGCACCCCCAATCCCTGGTCCCAGCCCTCTTGCAGATGGACAGGGCTCCCTTCCCCCCTGCCTCCCAACCCTCTCCGCTTTCAGCACAGCCTTGTCACCTGGCAGAGCCCCAAAGGCAAGGGCTTGGTGGGGGGGGTGGGCACGGCAGCTCCGGCTTCCAGTTCCTATGGGAACCATCTCCCACTGGCTGGGTGAGTGTGCTCTGGCCAGGGTGGGGGTGGCCCTGGTGGGCTGGGCCAGTCTGGGCGCCCTCAGTCACAGGCTGTCTGCTTCTCCTCACTTTGGCAGGAACTGGTCTCTTAAGACGTGGACTTTGGCCTTTCCGTCTTTCCCATACACCCAGAGAGGCTGGGCCAAACATTGCCTGACACGCCTGCTCCCCGGAGACCCTCCCTGCTACGGGTAGCACTCACCCTGGTCCTGGGCTATCCCAAGCCTGAGGCTCTCTAACCCCTGAGGAGGGCCTTGACATCGGACGGTGCTGAGAGCAGATGGGTGGATGCAGGGGCAGCGGCGTTCTCTTCTCTAAGAATCACACGTAGCAGAGAAAGAGGCAGACTTCCCAGTTTTGTGAACCTGGGCAGGCCATGCTTCCACATGGAATCAATGTTTAATCCTGCTTTGAATATTGTTTATGGCTCTGTGTGTGTGGTATCTGGGTGATTTCAACAATAATGTGTGTTCTCCCCGAATCTCACCCCAGCGTTCTTCTGCCAGCTTGACTCCCCCTGGCAAGTAAAGGTCTCTCCTCAGGATGAGGACTCTCAGGGAAAGAGGTGTCCTGTTTTCCCTGGGGAGGCCCCCTCGGGGCTGCAGGCAAGCTGATGCCCTCGCTCCTTCTTGGTCAGGTCCCAGCTAGCTCTGTAAATCCTTCCCACGCCCTCTGCCTCCAGCTTTTGCCTCTAACCCAGGGCTGAGGAAGGAGGAGGTTTCAGGGTCTCCAGGGCCTCTCCCTTACCCTGGGGTTTTGGGAAGCTCCTGAACCTTTCTCAATCCTGACATGGGTACCGTGGCCCCAGCCTTGACGAACCCTGTCCACCAAGGAGCAAGGAAGTGAAGCCTGAAGCCAGAGGCCTCATTTCCTGGAAGAAAGAGCCAGACTAGGTCTCTCACAGCTCCAGAAAGTTCTCTCTGACCACCCAGCCCACATATCATCTTCTAGGCCAGCTGTTCTCACTCTTGAGGGGGCCTCAGCATCACCTGGAGGGCCTGTTAACACACAGCCTGCCGCCCCAGCCCTGGAGTCCCCAGTCAGTGGGTGTGGGTGAGGCCCATACATTTGCATTTCTACCAAGCTCCCAGGTGATGCTACTGGGGGCGCTGGTTACGCTTTGTGAACCGCTGCTCTAGGCTACATCCTGGCCCTGGCACTTATGCCGATCTGCGTGGTGAAGAACCAGAGCTCCACAGCCAGCTATGTCTCCACAAGTAACTGTGTAGCCTTGGCCAACAGACTCCACCTCCCTGTGCCCAGGTCCCATCTACAAACTGGTGCTAGTGATAGTAACAGGTAATTGTGAGAAAACACCTGTACAATGTCATGTCAGGCAATGGGTCATGACAGTCCTGTCCCTGCTGGTTTAGGCACATTGCAGATGCTCAGTAAGTACCAATCATCACGATTCTGCACTCGATCTGTTCTTTTGCAGTAGGTGTTGTCACTTGCTCAACTGTGTCTCAAATGCATTCACTCTCCCCTGTGACACCTGGTGTTGCCTTGTTTCTGGGAGAAGGGGAAGCAGAAGGGGCCCAGGCAGGGGGTGACCCGCTCTGCCACCAAGAGAGAGTCCTCCGTGGGTGCCGCGCTGGCAGGGCTCAGTCACCCTGGCCGCTGCCCACCAAGCCCAGCTCTAGGCGGAATGAGGCCGGGGAAGGCCAGCTTAGTGGCCGCTCCTGATGTTAACCTGTGTCTCCCACCCCCAGCCCCCAGCCCAGGGACATGAGCTGGGGAGAAGGCAGAGGGAGTCGCAGCCCCGGAGTGTGGGGGAAGGAAATTTAGATGGTGTTGATAACACTGACACACAGTTCACATTTATGCAAGTGACAGCTTAGAGAATGCCTTTAATCTGCTGTCAAATGTCTGCAGCACAGATATGATTATCCTCTTTGCCTTATAGGTGAGGACACTGGTCCGGAGAGGTTAAGTGACCTGTTCAAGGTTGCACAGCGATCCAGTCATACACCTGGTACCAGAATCTAGGACTAGGTCCTACCTGGCTCTCTTCCCACCATACTCTGCTCCCAAACAGGGCATCAGTCCCTGGGTGGTGGCTCTGGACCTGCCATGAGAACCCCCATTCCTCCCACTTTCCCAAGACTCTCCATCTCACGGCCATGTCGTTCCCCTTCGTGACCTGCACAAACTGCTCCAGGGCCTCTGGGCCAGGCAGGTGTAGTTCTCTAGGAAGCGCAGCTTCTCAAACTAAAACTTATACCTGGACTGGGCCTCCGCCTGCTTCTCCAGCAGCTGGAAGACGGTGGCGCTGAGGAGCAGGTAGCAGATGTAGGCCAGTGGCAGGGGCAGCGCCCGGCCACCCCAGCAGCCTCAGAGCCTAGCCCTGGGCATGGCATGGTCAGGACCCTGCCAGGGCCTTGGGGGTGAGCTGTGGGGGCGAGACGGGAAGCAGGTAAGGAGCACGTGCCCAGGGACCTGCGCCCAGGCTGCTGCCTGCCCTGCCCTCCTCCTGGGCACAGGCGTCTGAGCTGGGGAGACTGTTTAAACAGTGCAGCTCAGTCTGGCTGCACTAAGTGCCCTGAGTGCAAGCAGGCCCGTCACCCCCCGCTCGGCCTTTTTTTCCCCATGGATAGCAGCAAATCAGTGTCATGGACCCCTCAAAGAGACCTACCGGGTTCTCCTGAGCTCATCTTGTCTCGCCCTCTGCCTTCAAGCAGGATGGATGTTTCTGGGCTAAATCTGATCTGTGCACCCTCTGCCCAGGCCTGAATGGGCTCTCTCAGCAGCCCCTAACTCCGTCACCCATGAAGCTTTAAGTCCCCAAGCTTAGGAGCTGGGAAGAGATCAGAATAGGTGTGAATGAACCTTCTACTCAGTTGCCTTGGCTACAAAATGGGGCTAGGAGAATTGCCTGCCTATTGGGGGAACCCTGAGATGAGTAATCTGGGTGACAAATCAGGGCAAAGTAAACAAATGATAGTCTCGCTCAGTGACAGGGCCAGGGTTGATGCTGGTAATAAATTGGACACATTGCTTTATAACTCTTGCTGATAATTTACCTTGCTTTAAATCCTTTAGTAGGCTACAGTCAGACGGTAATATATTGATTAGTGAAATGTATGTGCGAATAAAAAAGGAACTTAAAGTCTATCCTGGTCCTGGGGTATGAACTCTTTCTGGGTGGAATTGGGGGTGTTTTCCTTCTTCTTCTTCTTTGTTTCTGTGTTTGTGCGTGTGCGTGTGTAACAACCTTATTGAGATACAGTTCACTTACCATATCATCCACACACTTAAAGTGCATACAAGTCAATGGTTTTTAGTATATTTACAGAGTTGTGCAACCACTACCAGTCAATTTTAGACCATGTTTATCGCTTCAAAGAGAAACCTGTACCCTTCAGCTGTCAACCGCCCCAGCCCACCGCCCTCAGCCCCTCCAACCACTGATCTGCTTCCTGTCTCCGTGGGTTTCCCGTTCTGGGCTTTTCACATCAATGGCATTAGATGATGTGTGACCTTTTGTGTCTGGCTTCTTTCACTCGGTGTACTGTTTTCCGGAATCATCCATGTTGTAGCGTGTGTCACTACTTCATTCCTCACTGTGGCCGAGCAACATTTCATCGTGTGGGTGTGCCGCATCTGTCTGCGCATTTGACGTCCCGTTGGTGGACATTGGGTTGTTTCTATTTTTCCATCATGCTAGGAACATTTGTGTTTGAGGTTTTGTGTGGACATGTTTCCATTTCTCACAAGTACATATCTAAGACTGGAATTGCTGGGCTGCGTGGTCACTTTACAGTTTGTGTTGAGCTTTCTGAGGAAGTGTCAGACTGGTTTTCAAGGTGGCTGTGCTATTTTATATTCCCACCAGCGCAGTGTGAGGTTCCAATTTCTCCACTTGTGTTTTCCGTTGCTTCCTTTAATGAGCTGTGGCTGCAGACACTGTGATTTCCTAGCCAGCAGAACCCCATGTCGACCCCAGGCGCTGGAGCATGACTGGCCAACCCCATCATGGTAATCCCACCTGCCCGTCCTAGGCCGAGTCCCCCAGGAGCAGCCCCCAGGAGGGCGATGTGTACAGCGGCAGAGGAAGTGAGGCTGCAGGGGCGTGGGCCAGCAGGGCCGGCCGAGGGGAAAGACAGGCGAGATGCTGCAGCCCCAGCTTGGCCTGAGTCCTGGGGAGCTCTGCTGGGTGAAGGGCACCCCAGGTAGTCCCAGGTGGAGGCAGGGGCCCCACACCAGGTAGACATCTGGCACTTCTGGCTCTGCACACGTACAGGCAAAGTGGAGAGGAGCCCCGGGGCAGGCCAGGCCGCCGAGGAAAACCACATTAAAGCTTGGGGAAGAGACTTGAGGGTTGACGTGACCTCTGCACCCACTTTCCCAAGCCCCCTTGCAGCCGGGGGTGGCCATGTGACCTGATTCTGACCATAATTGGACAGAGATGGCTGTGGAACTTTGGGGCAAAGTCGTGCTGACAAAGGTTTGGCTGCAGCTGGCCCCACTTTAATCCCTCTGTCTGTCCAGAAGGCACAGCTGTCTGGACCTGCAGAGCCATCTTGTGCCCATGACAGAAGGGTCACGGGAATTCCTTAGACGTTCAGCCAGTTCCTGCACACACCTAGCTCTAGATTCCTTTCCATGTTAGAAACATAAGCCCTATTCGTTTCAGCCACTGTTAGGCATTTTGTTACTACCCGATGGTTCTTTTTAAAAAAAATTGTTCAAGGCTTATTCGAGTTGGAGGGAACAGGAACACACTGGAGTTATCCTAAGTAACCGAGACGATTTGTTGTAGGAAGCCAGGAGCAGCCACCGTCAGCGTGGCCTGACCACCCTCCGCAGCTGGGCCCCTCTACCCGCTGTCCCGGTCTCTGCTCTGCCCAGGGCTCTGCTCCAGGCTGCAGCTCCTGTTGCCCTCCACTTCTTTCTCTGGGTAATTCTTGGCTTAAATCTTCTATGGAGGGGCTGAGTGTCCACAAGCACCCTTCCATGGTGGGCTGGCCTTGGGTCAAGTACCACCCTTCGCTGACCTGCCCCAGCCAAGGGGGCGGGGGTATGGCACGTGCAGGCGTCACTTGGAGGGCTGTGGTGTGGCAGATACCGTGGCTGGTCTGTCCAGGACAAGCACGATTGTGTTTCTCTGATAAGGAGAGAGCAAGAGCGCTTATAGACAATGCAAAGCAAGGGGCAGAATTTTACTATCTTCAGGTGTATGAAGGATCAAGAGAGTGGCAATAATATAGTGTTCTTCATCCATTCTAAGGCCAAAACCAAGACCAAACCAAGCGAGAACACCACCACCTCGCAGCCAGCCAAGGTGAGGCAGAGCCGCGCAGGCTGTGCGTTGGGAATACCCGACGCTGTGGCGGGTGCTGAGGAAGGACTTCCATCCGCCCTGTGGTTTAGGCGTGGCCCCCCCTGGGGGTGGTGCGATGGGAGCCCATCTTCTCTGGAATATCGTGGCTGCTGAATTCCTCTGAGGCTGTCTGGGCATCTCGGAAGTGATTCTGCACCTCACACGGTCCCGGAGCATCCCGGACAGCACTTTGTTGGGAGGTGGGCTTGTCTTGGAGGGAGAAGAAAATATACGGAGTCACGAAATTCACCCTTACTTGGTTTTCCTTGTGCTTTTGGAGAGATGGGGTAACAGAGCACTGGCGGTCATCCCTACTACAGACTCGCCAACGCCCAGCTTTCAACAGGGTCGGAGTTGCACCTGAAAGGCCGTGTGGCAATCAGACCCCACTGGGTTGCCTTAGAGAAGCTCAGTGTGTCAAGAGGTCTCTCGTGTGTCATTTAGAGGCTCATCAGCGATGTCCAGAGCGCCTCAGGCAGGACCGAGCAACCTCCTCAGTGCTTGGTGGTTGTTCTAAGGTGGGAGGAAATGAAGGAAAGAGAACGGACTATCTACATGGGAGATGGGTAAATGCGGTGAGCAGGAGGGATGTCGGGGACAGGCTGGGCTAGAGGGAAGGCTGGATCAGGCCCTGGGCAGGAAGGGCACCAGGTTTGCCAGGGCGCGCACTGCATTCATTTATGGACTGTCTACTGAGAACCTTCCAGGCGCTGGCGAAACTGGCCAGAGCAGTGGCCTCCGGCCTGTCCGGGCTGCTCTCCCTCCCCTCCTGGTGCTCCTGCCTCGCCTTTCTTCCGCGCGTCCTTCACATCTTCCTCTTGCACTCGGGACTGCCCGAAGCCCAGCGGCTTAGCCCGACTGGGGTTTAGGAGAGAGTCTTTTTCAGGAGCACATCCAGTTGAAGGGGGACTGCTGAAAACACTATGGCCACAAGAGCCAACGAAGTGGTAACACAGTGGTAGACTTTCGGGGAGACCTCAGCTCAGGAAGTCCTCAAAGCTCTCTGCGCCAGAGAGGAAGCCCTCTTTCTTCCCCCCTCGCTTCCGTCCCGTGCTTGTTCTCCCATGCTCACGGAGGGCCCGCTCTGTGCTGGGACCTGCGTTAGCTGCTCTTCCCAGTCTGCTGGGTCTTGTGAGATCAGCACTTGGTCGGGTTTAGGAAAGAACTGCAGGGCTGCAGGGACCTCCCTGCCCGACATCTCCCCACACGGGCACCACCCTGCCGTGAGCAATGGATGGGCACGGGGCATGATTTACAGTCCCTTTCAGGGAATTATTGCTGCTAATGGGCAGAGCCAATTTGTGCTTCCAAAGGGGTAGGACAAAATCAATTAATGGAAAGTCTGACATGACCAGGACTGATGGCAAAGCATGGCCTGACATCCGGAGGTGATAAGGGACTTTCTGAGGCTGAACTAATAAGGAGATTGGGGAAAAAGACCCCCCCCAGATCAATTCCACGTACAATGGGCAGAGAATGCAGAGCAAACAGAGCAGCTGGCACGGGCCTCTTTCCATCTGAATGAGCCCCGAGATAAGGGCAGGACAGGCCGCCCACCCGCCATCCAACATAGGTATTCACTTATGGTGTCACTCAATAGACAGGTATCTGCACAGGTGAAAAAGGACAATTTCCAAACTGGAACCAAGGGGAGAAGATAAGGCCCACCTGTCCCAGGTACATGCCGTGCAGCAGAAAAGGCAAGTGGGGAGAAAGAGCACTGGTTTTTGGATCCTGCCACCCCAACTGAGCCCTCCAAGAGATGGCACCAAGTGGCTGGAGTGGCAAGTTCTGGCTGTGGGTGCTTGGGCTCCTGAAGGTCTCCCCAAAGTGAAGGGTGAAGGACAGTGTCCTGTGTGGAGGCGGGGGTGGCATAGGTTCATAGGGGTCTTTATCTGTGCTCATGAACAGAGAGCATGAGCTCAGAGGGGATCCAAACCATCTATGACCGACAGGGAGGGCAGGCAGGGAGAGCTGGAGGTGATTAAAGGGAAAGCCTCCAAACAAACAAACAACAAACACGCCTGTTACTGATCTTGTTCAGAAACTGTTTTGTTGTTGTTGTTAAGGAGCAGGATTCCTTTCTCCTGTGAAACCTAACAGTGGGGCTCCGGCGGAAGTGGGGGTGGTGGGCCCCCGCCGTGACTCTGAAATGGATGCCCCAGTCTAAGCGGCACGTCCCGAAGAGCAGATCTCAGGTGCAGTGCGGTTGTGAGCAGTTCTCTGGGAAGGGATCCCAGGAAGCACACGCAGGGAGTGGGGGAGAGGGACTGAGAAGGGAAGGCAGCCAATTCGGGTGCGTTACTGAGCAGGTGACTGCTGTGGGCAACTGTGCCTCCGTCCCGCGGGCCCTCTGGGACACTGTGGAGAACGCACTTTCGAGGTGTTCCACAAAGGGGCAAGGAAGCCCAGGTGTTTATCCACCAACTCCTGTCCCTTATTACTTGGAGATTTTTCCAGGGGTAGTTAACTCCTGCACTGCCAGTTTGCCCTGCACAAGAGCTGAGCGTGCTCCTGCAGGCGCTCAGGACAGGAAGCTGTTGGCACAGACGGGGACTGCCCACTGGAGCTGCATGTGACCTCCAGGAAGGCTGGGGGACATGGGAAGGGTGCTGACAATGTCTGTCACAGACTCCTGGTTCTCTGCTCCTTTTCTAGGTCACTGCGGTTTATGATTCCTGCAGAGAAGTTGCTCATCTGTGAACCTTAATGGAGGGGTAGTAGGCTTTCCTGGGCACATCAGGAAAATGTCCTTGGAAGTATGACAAAAGAGGGAGGAACAGACCCCACTCTCCTGATGGCCACTAACGTTGAAAAAGGTGAGGTGGTTCTCAAAGGATCCACTGGACACCCCATGGGAATGAATCCCCTCACCTCTCCGGACTATGGGAAAACCCGGAGTTGCTAGAGGCGTTGGCGCTAATGCAGTGAGAAGCCCGGGATGCCACGGAACGGGCTGTGGATGAGGGGTGTGGGCCAGGACAGGGAGGAGCAGAGTCTGTCCAGGGCCTGGGACAGACAATGAACTGAGAGACTCAAGGGCAGAGATGGGGCCAGAGCCGCTCTTGGGTGTGTGAGCGTCCTGGCAAGTATTTTTTGTGGCCCTCTGTGTATATAAATTTGATGAAAACAACATAGTACCCAATTCATGAGCCCATGTGAGGCATAGGGATTTATTTGTGTAGATTTACAATAATGATAGAAAAGAGGTAGTTATGGATTTATTTATTGTCTAATTAGTTCACGTGAAGATTCTTTGTCCTACAGTGGACTGTAAAAGTCATTTAAATCAGCATGTTAGCACTGATCAGATGGCCCAGTCTCACACAGTGCCATAAAAGGAATGCCACACCGGCCAGCAGCATTGATCTGCTCCCCAGGCTGCTCTCCGGCACGAGGGACTGACCAAGAGGCTCCAGAACAGCTGCACAGGCACAGGCAGGAGTCCTGGAGCACCGGGGGACATCTGGGCGACCCCATGCATGAGCTGAGAGCTCCCTGAAAGAAGGAAATGGAGACCCACATGGGGCCTGGTTTGAGTTCGGGGTGCCTGCAGGGACGAACATTATTGGTCATGGCTGGTCCCAGCACCAGAAGGAGACTTAGAAAGTTCCTAGCAACGCACTTCAATGTGCGGGGTTGCCTGAGCCACGGGGCCGAGGGCGGGGGAGCTGCTTGCCTCGGTCGAAGGACAGTGATGGGAAAAACAAATCCAGAAGGATTTTCAGAGAAAAGATAACAGCGTGTCACACACCTGGGGCCAGAGGGGCTCGGTCCTGGCCTGCGGAAAGGCTGCCTTTTGCGAGGAGTTGAGTGAGTCGGGAGGGAGGAGTATAGGACCAGCGCGCTGCTCGCTCCAAGCTCCCCTAGAGTGAGTGAAGCTGGCTCAGCCCTCTGGCTGGCACTCGGCCGTGAAAACCCAAAACAAAGCAGTTAACTCTCAAGAGGGTCGCTGCTTCCTCCCATTCCTTGAGAGAAGCGTCCAGGGCCACATCCAGAGGACACTTCTCCTGTGTTCAAGGGAACACTCCTTTCCCCTCCCACGTTTTACACGTGGATTTTCAGCTGCCAGCATCCACTCCGACCTTTCTGCACCGACTTTGCCTTGAAGCCCTGGCAGTCCCCGGACGCATGTCATGGGAGGAACACTGTCTCCCCCACATGCTCACAAGGCGAAGATCCCACAGAGCTCCTTTTAGCCACACTCCACGTCTCATGTCCCCCCTGTCACCAAGCACCTGACCCACCATTGCCGTCTTCAGCCTTCCTCCTCTGCCTCCCTCTCTGCCCCCTGCCCTGCTCTCACATCTTACCCACCTCGACAGTGAGCTCAGGCCCATCTTCCCACCCCCACCCGCCTCCTGACTCAGATCCTCTTGCTTCCCTTATCGCCTGTCTCCCTAATTAGAAGGTGAGTTCCCAGAGGGCCGGCACTTTCTCTGTCTTAGACACCTCCGATTCCTCAGGGCTTAGCACGGTGGATGGCACATGCTTGTTAAAAGAATGACCAGATGAATGAGCCATGTTTACATTTAAGTAATCCCAAGGGGAATTTTTCTGTCTATATTTTAAACACACATTTATTGTATTTTAAAAATGTTCACCACCAGAAGGATGGACGTATTTGAAACTCGGATGTAGTGGGGGAGGGAAAGGTCAAGGGCAACATATGTAACCTAAACATCTGTACCCCCATAATATGCTGAAATAAAAAAAAAAAAAGAAAGTAGCCATCCTTGTGAGAAAAAAAAAAATGTTCTTGTCTACTTATTCTATGTAGCATCTGTGTCATTCCTGGGTTCTGTTTCTATTTCTATTGATTGGTTTTTCTCCTCACTATGGGCCACATTTTCCTGGTTCTTTGCACGCCTGGTAATTTTTTTTATAAGAGGCCAGGCATTGTGAGTTTGACATTGCTGACTGTTAGTTTTGTTTTGTTTTTTTGTTTTTTTTATTTCTGGTATTCCTTTAAATAGTTTTTGAGCTTTGTTTTGGGACTCAGTGAAGTTACTTGGAAACTTAGTGGAAACAGTTTGACTGTTCTGAGTCTTACCTTTTCAATTCTGTTGGGGGGGACCAGAGCAATGGTTCATCTGGGGCTAATTTGGCCCCACTTCCGAGGCAATACCCTCTGTGTCTCTATTCAGCGACCCTTTTGGGAGGAGGTTTTTCAGTCTGGCTGCTGGGAACATGAATTATTCCCAGCCCTG